TTTAAAAATGGTAAAGAGAGACGGAGAGAGGTTGATCCTTGCTCGTTGCGCGTGCACCTTGTAATTCGAAATAAATGGTCAAATTTAAGAAGAAATTTTTTATTATGATCGGAACAAAAGTGATATATCATGTGTTCTTATATAAGTGATGAGAAGTTTAATTTATTAAGTTATTAATTTATTAATATACATATCCCACCATTTATATAATGACACGTGATGTATCATCCCATGTTTCGGTCATATTAAAAAAACTCTCAAATCTATGAGTAATCTCTCTCTCTCTCTCGATATGAAAAAAAGGTGTCAAACCTAGCCTAGACTGCATGTGAATTGTGATGCGCCCAACAACAAAAAGCGGTGAATAGTACGTGGAATATTATATAGCTGGATTGATTAAGTAGTTAATTAGCAACATAATGATTTTGTACAAGTTATGAGCCCATAATTATGGAGAATATATACGTTAACATGCACTAATACAGCTCCGTCTTTGATTTGGTTTGCAAGAAAGATCACTACGACTCCCTTAATTTTCTTGGAATACATCATATATATATATATGCATGCATGAAGCATCACAAACAATCATTGTACTTTCTTGTTATTTTAACAACATTGTAATTTAAAGAAAAGGAAGATTGTAATCCAAGTAAACATATATTTGATACAATGATCATAATCCATGTGGGTCTTACATGTTCTTTCCACTCTCACACAATTGTTTGGCTTTAAAGGTCAAAGAATTCCTAATTGATTATGCACCTTTTCCTTGGTACACAAGGTCACGAGTCATAATTGACCAAAAACAAAGGTTACGGTCTTAGCATTGTATTACATGTTTATTTGAAATTGAAAAAAAATGATGAATTTGCCAACGAGAGTTGGCTCGGTTGATAAAGTATCTGCTTGTGGTCTCTCCTCCAAAAATAACTTTTTCGGTCAACGAACGCATTAGATATTTACCTAAATTGGTAAGTCCTTGAGCAGATCATACGTTAGCCCCAAGACGTTGGTCTCTAACCAAAAAAGTAAATACTTGAGCTTGAGAAGCTTTTGGTCCAGTGGGTTCATAAAACTCACCAGGATAGGCGGTATTATTGAACCAAACAAAGCAACAAGCAATAAAACCAAAAATGGATAAAGCAGCCAAACTATAAGACAAGTAAGCCTCTCCGCTCCACTAAAGTTCGAGTTTTGTTGCTAGCACTTCTCGTTAGTGTGCGATTTTTGCAAATTCTTATGTAAATCCATACCTGTAGCAGCTGACACTTAGATGTCACGCATATGGTCTTTAGGTTTGAAGTTGTGGGTTTGCCCTAGTGCTGGTGGTGAGAGTAATCAATCTCCCCCTAAACTTTTGATTAACCAAGAAAATGATGAATTTGAATGATACATGGTTGTTTAGGTAGAAGATAAACTAACATGTTTATTTGTTTGGAATGCAAGTAGTCATGAATGACAATAATATATTCATTTCAACAATCCTCCTTGGTTATCTCATACTTGCTTGTTGACGTATGACATACATAATTTTAATGTGAGGAATACTTACTATTTCAATATTTATTCCATGTTAGTAAACTCATGATATATCGAAAATTTATGAAAGTGACATTCATTATTGGTATTTTTTTACTTGATTGTTCATGTATTACAACAATTTTTACGAGCTGTGCAGTAGAATAATGTTAGAGAGACAAAATTTAACTCTCGTTGAAAATTGCTTATCTAAAACACACATATGGTTACAAGCAGGTTTTACTGAAAGTGTTTCTATTATTAAAGCAATCAAATTTTTTATAAAAATGCTAGTGTTTTTCCTTTCGTGAACAAGCATCCACCACCTGCTTTTCCAGAAAACGCTTTAGCAATTTCAGAGGCAATTCCAAACAAAACCTGACTTTGATCAGTTCAACACCTACAACCCAAATCCCAAAACCCAAATCGGGTTTATCCATGAGGCCCATATATTTGCCCGGCCCATATGTCTGCAACCAAATCCAATACGGCTCACTGAGAAAAAAAAAACAAAAAATTGGCGGGCGCAAAAATTTCGTTTTTCAAAAAATAGTCCGACTCTACTCTCCCTCTCCCTCACTCGCTCCTCAGTCCTCAGCAAATGGACGGCAAACCGGAGGAGTCCGTACGGACGAAGATGGAGTCGCTACGGATGGCCTGCGAGAGTGAGATTCCGATCCACGAGAAGGATTTGGATGCCTTCACGGCGTCGTTTCGGGATTCCCTGGCTTCCGTCCGCGCTACCGCACAAGAAACCCTCCAGTCCCAAGGTCCAGCTTCTCATTTAACTCTTTGATATACTCGTTTTGTCAAAAAGCACTTCAATTTAGGGTTTATATTTGCGTTTTTGTTGTTTTTCGTGCATAAATTAGGGTTCTTGAGCAGAGTGAGGATGTGTGGTTCGTGCGAAATTAGGGTTTCGGATTTAAATTTTTGTAAATCTCATTTGGCTGAAGTCTGTTTTCTTTTGAATAAGTGCAGGTAAATTAGGAGAGGCTAAAGCTAAATTGAGGGAAGCTGAGGATGATTTGTTTAAAGCCCTAGCAGGTATATTCTCTGCATTTTGTATTTATAATTTTAATGGAAATTAGAAATTACTGGGGAAAATTTGTAGTTAAAATTGCAAAGAAATTACGCAAATTTTGTGAAAGCTAATCAATTTAGTTGCTGCTTTTGCTATGATTAGCTGTAATATTTTTTCTTTTAAGATATTTTGTTTCTTCAAATTAATCTGTGTTAGTTTTTATTTCTTATTATTCTTTGTAGTGAAGACCCGTAAAGAGGCCAAGCGAATGGCATTGATGGAGGCCATTGAAGCTAGGAAAGCTAGAATTGAAGTACTTAAGAGAACAGTGCAAGATCAAAGGGCTAAGAGGGAAGAATATGCTGCAATCCTTTCTCAGCAATATTTCGGTAATTTCCTCTGATTATTTCAGTTATTGGCTCATTGCTGGTTTTTGGTTATAGCTTTCTATCATTTTATACTTATTAATAGTTAAACTTTTTCTCTTTGTTTGATTGCATTCTGGCTTTGTTAATGGAGGGTGACTCGGTATTTCAAAGGACATCAATATATGATTGTGATTCCAAATTTTGTTACTTTTCTTAAATTTTAGTAACGTTCAAACTTTGGCAGAATCTGAAGAAAATTGTATCCCAGACAGAAAGGATGAAATAAAAGAGGCCATCTCTTGGTATAATAGGGTTCTTGGTTTCTACGTTGAAGGCGGACATGGTAATTTAAGTTATTTGATTGTGCAATATTTCTCATATACTGTTTATGGGGAATGACATACATCCGTCTGTGACTAGGTGTAAAATTCACATTCAAAAACATTAGTTTGAAGAATCCAGATCAGGAATTCTGTTTCACTGTTCGACATGCAAATGATACTTACACCTGTAAGTATTGCCCCTCTTATTTGTAGGTTATAGTTTAATCTTGAATTTACATCTTATATTGTCTATCTCCAACTTTCTAATATTGCATTTCTTTTAATGTTTAGTGTTAGATTGTGATCCGTACTTGAACGAGACCAAAGAGATGATTCGCGAATTGAACAGAACCAATGAGTTATTTAAATTTGCCAGAGATATGAGAGTGAAGTTTCAAGATGCTGCAGCTCAAGGTAGTCCTTCTCTCTTGTATTTCCCTAAAATCTTCTGTGCTGGAAGGGGAACATCCTCAAATAGTGGCCCTGTATATTATTCTAAAAGCTGTTTTAGTTCCTGAGTCCACTGCACTTAATTGATATACAGTATTGATTTTTGTGTCCATTATGGCTCAACAGGATTACCAGCTGTTCTTCCTCAAGAGTCTTCCACAATTTCTGGGTCTGCTCCAGTTTTGTCTGTCTCAACTGAGAGAAGTGAATCTCCAGCCAAGATTTATGACCACCAAGTTCAATACGCAGAAGAAAATAGACATTTCAAGAAACCAAACCATGGGAAGGGGAGTAGAGCAGCAATTCTATCTCCTGCCTCTGCATTATCTATGCGTCGGTCTCCTCGTTTAAGGGTATTTCCTTATTTTGGTTTATAGGTTTCATTTTCTCTTCTAAGTTTCTGCTTACTAATTATTTTCATTGCTCGCAGTTCTTTAATGCTTTGCAATAATCTTTTTGTTTCCTTTTTGGAAAATAAAACTGGTGATGTAGAATTCTTTTGATAACATCTATTGAAAACCATGGCAGGTCAAGAAATGAAGATGGGAGGAGACACTTGACAACATTGAATGTTTATAAGTCACAACCAAAGATGCTTAATGATGATGATGTTTGACTTGTCAGCCAGGAAACTTGATTTCTGTGTGTTATAAGTAGACAGAAAGAAAGAGCTTCATTGTTAAGAGTTGCAGCCCAACATGACAGCACCACCTTGTTGCTGGGTTTGTTTCACTCGTGTACTCAGCGTCTTCCTTGAACGGAACAGCTAATCCGTAATGAATATGTAAGCCTTGTAATCCCCAACCTTCTTTGCTAGTGAACGTGTGTGTTTCACTTGTATTTTCATCGTATCCTAGATTTCGGTGTATTATCATTTCATGAATTGTGTTTTTACTTTGTAGTAGATGGCATGGGTTATGAGTATGTATCTTTGTTTCTCTTCTTCACAATTTGTTCGGTTGTAGTTTCGCTTTCACCTTCCCTTGACACACAGGATGTCTTCTGGTATCCCATTTTTGTTGGTTTTGATCATGCAGTTTACGGTAAATTATGATAAAACTACTCTGATAGTACTGATATTTTTTATCCAATTGCAAGAAATTTTATTTTTTTTGCAACCGTGGCTTGAACCTTGTCCCTGTCTTGACATTAGGGATATGTCCAGGTGACAAGCAAGAATTATATACGCTAGTAGGATGTATGATTTTGGTTATGGATTTCTCAAGTTCAGATTGTTCGATGTGTAAGTCCTTGATTCAAATATTTGACTGTATATGCTGCCACCGATATACATCGTTATGCTCTGAATTTATCTATCATGTTTTCGGAGAATACAAGCAGGCAAAATTGCATCTAGAAGCCGAATTTCAGATTTTGTCATGTACATATCGATTGTCTTGTACGAAAACAGTGACAACATAGGGTATGTAAGTTCTTTCAGTTATTAATTACCTTGGAATTTATACATTCTTCTCTCTTTTTGGGAGGTGGGAGGAATTTATCAGTGTCACGGTCGCGCCACCAAGTGATGATTCTTTGGTTCCGGAGTCTGATTATTATGGAGTCTCCATATACTAAGCCTCTCTAACTACCTTTTGCTTATATAAATCCCCTTATATACATGACTGAATGGCAGAGGGATCGAATACACATTTTTTCGTTGTTCTTACGCTGTTGGTTGAGAAAGGCGTCTATGGATTAGCAGACGAGTCTGCTTCCACAACTTACGAGCTTCAGGTTCATCGTTTGCTAGTTTCGAGCAGGTGCTCTCGTTGCAGTCTGCAAAGTATTTCCCACTCACTCCTTCCAGCTCCGGGCTTAAAGCAACATAGCACGTTGTCGAAGCACCCTGAGATGTCGATTTTAGTAACTTGGACGCGATGAAGAACACAGAATCTGCACGTAAACAAAAAGGTTCCGAGAAGTTAGATTTCGTTCTGCAAAACTGTAAGTTGTCATTCACGTGTAAGCTTAGATCAAAGAAATGAATCCATGCCTGTGATAAAGCCCTTATGAGCTCTCATAATTCCCGTCTTCACAATTCCCGGATGTATGGCATTGATCGTTACTCTTGCATTTCTTGCCTGTAACGTTTAAGAAACGTCCTGGTTAGAGATTGTTATATATAACCGACGCATTACAAAAAAAATCTTTGGAAAATGGTAGCTACCTTCAGCTGTCTTGCCAGTTCCTTGGCATGCAATATGTTAGCCAATTTGGATTGAGCATATGCTTTTGTACCATTATAACTGCATGAACAAACAAGATTAGTGCTTGTACAAATATTACTAATCACGGTTTAGTAAGGTTAATTAGGATTAAGTGTGATTAATTTACTTGTTAGGGTTGAGCAATTGGTTGAAGGAGAAGTCATCTCTCTTAACCCAGCTGTGGATCACAGAAGAAACGTTGATTATTCTCCCTCGGATGCCGGTCTGAGCTGCTGTTTCCACCATTTTTTCCAGCAGCTTTTCTGTCAAAAAATGGTGTCCTGCCAAAGAAAAGGACTGAATGGTCATGCGTTTTCCCAAATGGGCTGTTTTTTTGTCACGGGCAAGAATTAAAAGGGGTTCTTGTAGAGAATCCAAAAACGTGCCTTGTGGTCCATTTCACACATACTGTAGGCCACATGAGCATGGCCTAATTTTTCTTGGCATCTTTTGGGAGGGAGCAAAAGGTTGGTGCTATCCACACCCTCTTTTTGTTTCACACACCCTTTTTAATTTATGACTCTCAGATTGAATGAATTGAAGAAAATCAACGTATAAAAATTAACAAAATGTGTATGAGAAGTAAAAATAGGTGTGTGGATAGCACTACCCGAAACAAAATTTGTACTCTAGCAATTGAGGCCATTGCTTGCATGTGAATACCTCATTCATGTCCCAAACTACGGTTTTTTTGGGTAGTTCACAGTCACTGTCCATGTGATATTACTGATTCACATGTTCTAATATGAGTAAATGATATATGTTTTTTTTTCCTTACAAATGCAGACTAATATCATTAGAATGTAGTATTAGTGGCAACTAAATGACATAATTAGTTGTCCGTGAACTTATAATATATAATATTAATAAATGCATACGCGTGTTATAACAAGAGTAAATTTGTAACACTAGGTGGTTGTGTGATGGTCTAACATAAAAAAATTTCATGGGTAGTGAAATAGAAGTTACCCAAGTAATTTGTAGCAAATGTCATCTCAATTTTGTCTTCAGAATATTCCAAAGCCTGAGAAAACATCCCACCATTGTTTCTGCAAATTGTCCAGATTTCATACATTAGTGCCAACCAAAAACACAAAACACATACATTCATATATACATATATGTGTGTGTGTGTGTGTATGAAAAACACTTACATGAGGATGTGTATGAAAAACACTTACATGAGGATGTTGAGGGGAAGTCTTAGAGCTAAGAACTCAGAACAAAATCGATCAACAGAAGCAAGTGAGCTCAGGTCAATCTCCAAGATTATAACCTCAGCCTCTGGACTCTCCCTTTGAATCCCCTCCTTCACTTCCGCCGCCTTCGATAAATCTCTGGCCGGAATCACAACCCTCACTCCTCTCTTTGCCAGCACTCTTGCCGTTTCAGCTCCGATCCCTGATGTTGCTCCTGTAATTCCCAGGTAATAGAGTAATTTAATTAATTAGGGTAAATAGTGCATGATTAAATGGTCCAGAAAGCAGTTGTCATATAGAGAGCAACTCTGAACCAATGGGAGAATACTATTCAAAAGAGACAAAAACCATATCTTGCTAGAGCCAAAAAGAACCACTTGCAAGAAATTAATATACAACTTAAATTCCTTGCATGGAATATATTTATTCATTAAAATAGTAATTAAAATATTCTAGCGTATCAAAATTTGGTGGGATTGGATAGGAATTTAGGTATGTTTTTATATTTTCCAGGTTATTCTGATGAACTTTATGTTTCCATCCAAGAAAGCATGGATTGAAGAGTTCTTCTGCAAACGGTCCCTTCATTTTTCAGATCATTATGAAACGAAACAAATGAGATCGGGGAGAAGAAGAATTGTTTAGAGAGGGATATAAAGGGTTAAAAAAATGAATAAATCTTTGAATTATGTTACTGAAAATTAACAAAAATATTAAAAAAAAAAAACTTCATCATATATGTGGGATTTTGTGTCTGAAAAAAATACGACACATATCCAAATTAATGGAGCAAAATAAGGTGAGAGAGATAATAGAAATATGTATATATATACATATATTCATGAGACTGAAAAACTAAGAGAACGCTATGGATAACAGTAAAAACCATTTTTCATGTAACCGCAGTAAAGGCCACTAAAAAACAGACAGAGAGCGAGAGAGAGAGAGAGAGATTGAGAGATTGAAAGAGAGCCTGAAAAATCTGAAATCAACCATACACTATATATATATATTCATGTGTTCCAATGTTTTTCTGATCAGAAATCTCTTCGACCTTTGTTTAGTGAAAATTATCAACAAGGGATACATATAGAACATATTTGGAAAAATTGCATCCAAATTACCATGCAATTGTAAAGGATAATGAGATGCATGTGTGTGCATATTTGTAATTTGCTCATATTACTATCTATAATTCTCTTGGGTTTTATAAGAGATGGTTGGTTCTGATAAACTAACCAGTGATTATGGCAGTGAGTTGAGAAGGGACTGAGGAAGAACAATCCCGAGTGACTTGCTCAGCAGTTGATTTTGAGCCATAACCACTTGGCCCTGCAATTCCTGCCAAGTACCTTAGTGTCTCCTTCATGGGGCTCCCAAAAACAAAGAATCCTAGCTAGAAACTGCAATTCTGCAAGAAAGTGCTACTTTTGGTGGAAAATCACATAAATTTATAGTGCACATATACAGAAGACGAGTATTTTTAGGGCACTGATTGGACCACCCTTGTTAGGGTGGTCTCAACCAATAAACACAATTTGTAGAATTTTCTGATACCAGTCAAATGAAAATGATTGGTTGAGGTGGGCTATGTGTTTTTGCGCATTTACAACTTTAGGGTTTAGAGGAAAAACCCTATTCAGTATAAAAATTCACCCATTACTTTTTGTCTTTGTTTAATCTAATTATTACTGTCTGTGCCCCTCATTGAGTGGCTTCCATTTGTATATATTTTGTGATGGATAGGATGTGAGTTTGTCATTTCCAGTGGCATGACTTTCAATTTCAAGTGCATTTTATTGCTTGATTAATTAATTAAAGTTACCATTATGTAAAATTAATCATCATCCATCCCAATTCACAAAAAGAAAAAGGATCAATATTGTAGTATATTCTCAAGTAAAATGGTGGTTGAATGTCGCCCGCACCTTTATTATCTTCTGAACTTGGATCTGCTTGGTTTGGATGGCCACGAGTAAACTTTGCGTATTAGATAATTTCTTCTTATCCAATCATCTCAGAGAAATTACTGTCCTCTGATGCCGGCCAAAGCTAAGGGAAAGTAATAATAATGATGTTGTGCTTAGTTATTAGGTGCTTGATTGCTTGTTTAAGTGTAAATTAAGATTAATCAACCATGCATGTTAACTTCAGAAGTCTAATCTTACTGTGCATGAGAAACATGACAGCATTTGGCATATACCCATGTCACTGATACACCATCTATAATATTGCTGCCGTGGAATGGTTGATTAGGTTAGGTTTTTTTGTTTATTTTTCACATTTAGCAGTTGATATCCCGGATAGAGATGTGGCCTCACTTGTTAGTGATGATTTTGATGTGATCTCTCTTGGTGGCAATGACTTTGTGTATGCTTGGGTACAGGTTTTTTTCCTTTTCTTTTATCAAACTTCGGTTTCTATCCTATATGCTGCCCATGCATACATAGTACTCAAACTACATCCACCAAATAGAAAATTTTAGAAAAAACATGGTGTAGATTATAGAGCCCTACACACGTGCACACGTAGGAAATGATCTTGTAGATGATAATTACACTACATGCAATCGTTGATAATTTGAATTTTATGAGACAAGAGAGAATTTACCATTTTACATGTGGACTTTTGCATATATTGGCCATAGATATGTATAAGTGGCATAGACAAAACTGCTTTGTTTGCGTGCGATATGTCCTCTCCACGTCTCTACTTTAGTCCTTTTTGTCCCCATAGCCATTTCATTTTTCCAAACTTTTGTGTTGAGAAATAATCATGATAGACGGTGTTGGATCTTTGATGGACTAAAAGAGAGCAATGAGGTTGACTCCTCAGCAATGGAGTGTGAACTGGCTATTGCACAAGGGTCCCATTGTGTTTCCAAATTTGCATACACCTCTCATGACAGGCCACACACGAAGATGCATTTCTTTCTCACTCACTTTCTCTATTTACATCCAATACTTCGTATACTTTTACAATAAAACTACTCGGATGTACAAAATTGACACACTTATCAACACAATCTTCGATAAATTTGAACTCTATCATTATAGGTAAGATTCACTTATATTAGAAAGTATGTTAACAAATATGTTAGTTTTGTGTTTACAAATAAATCACTTACACTGCGTTAGTTTTGTATTTACGGATAAATCACTTGCACTTTATGTCCAAAATTTCTTACCCTAACTTTATTTGCTTCATATTCATGACATGGTATGCTAAAAAGTGTAAACACTAAAGTCCATATATTGGACTGAAAAAGCCATTTGTTTGGGTACATATGCGCATATATACATGCACGCTTGCAGCTTGTTGGATACAAAAGGTAAAGAAGGATGAGAGAATGTGAATGGCTTTAACTTGTTTTCGAATTCGAACTATTTTTGCATGTAGTTTTGTCGTGCGCGTGACCTATGAGAACAATGTTTTTTTTGGAGAAATTTGGACTTCTATTTCTATACCAAGTTATATATATCTTGTAGGAGAGGAATCATCTTCTACTCTCTGCATTTAGAAGACAATCTTATAATATCTTATTAAGATATATATTATATTGTTGTCGCTGATAAAATCATGCATTTTTACTAGAGCTACTTGATTAATTAAGCGTCCAGATCTACAGTCTAACGACAACAAAAAAGTGATTTTAATACAAGTACAAAGATTGAGTGTTAGCAAGAGGGATTATAATTGTAGTGGTAGAGCACGCAGTTATCTCCCACCAACCACCATAGTTCATTTTTAGGGTTTATCTTAATGCTAAACCAACCCCAAATCTAAACCATAAACTCAATATATGTTAGTTTCACTCGATAAATCCATGTTTAAAACTAGACTAATTCAAGATCATGATAAACTCGTTTTATTAAAACATAAATACCAAATTTTGACTAATTTTTGTTGATCACTAAACTTCCATCTTCTAATTCAATATTATAAGTTTGTAGGGTGATGTAGAATAAATGCCAAGTGGATTAAAGAGGGAATGGACTGATGAAAGACAAAGAGACATAGTGGGAATTTGCAAATTTGGGGGCCGAGCTTCGAATTGGAGCCATGATACCTTTTCGGAAAGGGAACGATATCATGGTTCCAATTGTTGTGATATATGTTGGATTTAACCATTTAAGGCCGTTTAGGCTTCCAAAACAACATTTTAATTTCTGAAATAAAAAGCAGACCTTTCGATTTCTGTCCAATTAATGTTGTTTTAATTATCAAAGTCCTTTGAGTTGTTCCTGCAGTTGTAACCTTTTATTTATGTCATATGATGTTTCAATTGTAATTATTCAAGAATTAATCAAATACAACCCTTTAGGATTTTTCTCAGAACCTAATGGACTCCAAATCTAATTCTTCAAGAGCTTATGTTGGCAACCCTTTTGTTTACTTCGTGTTGCGTCATAGGGTCTTGTTTTATGATTTAAATGACTCTAATCAATTAGTTGAAAATTGGGGCTTATTCTTTTCCCGATTCTTACTTATGCTAAGCACAAAATTAGTATGTATAATATCTTTTGTTCAAAAAAGCACAAAATTATGAAATAAACAAAGGAGAAAAATACAACTTGATATATTATTTTCTTTCTATTTTTGGAGGTGGATACGTACCTACTTAATGTGATTCATGTGATAGATTAATTAAGAAAAGGTGGTACACTTTATACGTTAAAAACATAGATTTAGTAGATCAAAATCTATTAAAATAAGACTATTAGTTCAATAACTTAATTCCTAATCATCTTTTGATATTGCTGGTCAACTTAGTTACTATTCCAAATAAATGGCCAACAACTCCACCAAACTAATATTGTTCAAGAAGTCTATGAGAGGTTAAAACACAATCTCCACCAAACCTAAAGAAAATGATGTTATTTTTTCAGCAACCCATAATTCACTTAAGAATGTGGTCACATTTTCTCATTGATAATTTGATAGGGAGGAAAATTGAAATGAGTCCAAAGGAACCAAAGGGCCCAAGTGTTAAAAAGATGTCTCCTCCCTCCACAAAAATTTCATACCTGAATTGATGCGTTCTGTATATCTTTAAATTCCCATTGCCGACAAACCCTAATTTTTTTCCTCATATCAACCAACCCTTTTTGCCATCCATGAAGATTAAGGAAAAAGGTTTAATCTTGATGAGTGCCACTCACAAGCCAACCATGGGATAACTAATTAAGGGACCCTCACAAGTGAGTAGTTTTCAGTGTGTTCATAACACGATCACACAATGTTATTATTTCAAGTTATAACACCTAAATTCATTTTTTTATTAATATACTCTGAATGCGGAACAAATCAACTATATTATAAGAAATTTTATTTGAACCCATGTAACCTCTTTTTACACCAAACTTAAATTTAAATTGTTAATTGTCTATTTTACCCTATTGCATAATTACTATTAAGTACAAAATGAAATTAATAATAAAACTCAAATTTATCAATAAACCCATTAAAACCCTACCATCACTTCTCGTTTATCCTACATTCATTATGGCTAAAACCCTAATAGGTCTTATAGAGAAAAACAAGCTTTTTTATATTGATGGATGGTGATTTTGAAGTTTTGAATCCTCCAACTAAGGTATGACTCAATTTATGAATATTTTGTTCGTTTGATTTCAATTTTTTTCAACAATCCCGAGTGGTTTGTTAAACTTTCTGCAATTGGAAAATTCTAAAGGAAAAACTTCTTACTAATGTTCTTAGATTATAAACTTCCTTGCTTGTTGATAAATGTAAGAGGGTGAATTGTTTGATTTGTTGTTTATGCACATCAATAGAAACAAAAAAAGGCAAATGTTTGGGTTTGGTAGTAGAAAGAAAAAAAAGTAGCCATGAAAATGCTAGTGGGAAGAGGGGGTGGGGCAAGGACGCCCCTTTTAAAAAAAATTCAATTACAGATGTTATTTTATAAAGAGAATGAGTAAAGATAACTCAACATTTTGAATTGAGTTTGAGAGGGTAATTTAGATAATAATTTCGGTTTAAAGAGAGATTAATTCTTTAATAAAAAAATAAAATGGGTGAAGAAAGTAAGTTTGGTGTAGAAATATGTTACATGAGTTTAAATAAAATTTTCCTTATATTATTCATCTTTATAAAAACACGTAAAATGATACATTATCTAACTTTTGTGTTTTCCGATACCATAAAAGTTTCTCACAAATTTATCCTCACAAGAAGAGTCAATCACGGGATAAATTGTATTATAAACTAGATTATTAATAGTAATTATTAATTATGATCTCTCACCTATGCTAAAAAGCTAATTTACTAATTAATTACTATATATTCCTAAATTTTTTCCTTAGCTGGGCCAATCTATGCAAGATTTGGAGAAAAGGGAGTTTGTCTTCATCTTCCATCTATATGTGAACCTTATCGGACCAAAACGAAGTGGGATTATTTTAAAATGGAAACCTAGAACCAGCTAGTTAGTGTGAGGGTTTGATTGAAGACATGGACATACCTCCTTCCCACCAAC